GGGCTCTGCAACTGGGTACTGGTGGGAATGGCCTCCTGGGGCTTTTGTGTGCTTATCTGTCTGTAAAATGGGAGGAATACTGGAACCCACCTGGCAGAGCCGATGAGAGGATGAGTACCTGGCACACGGGACACATAATAGATATACTAATAAATGTTACAAATTAAGAAACTCCCAATCAAGTCTTCATGTCAGATCGTAGAAAGGATGGAGCTTCCTTTTGCTTTGCACCTTCCCGGGGTCCAGCACCAGAGGCTTCCGTTTGCTTCGTTGAGAGCACGGGGCCGGGGCCCGGAGAGCGCGCGGCCTTGGGAACGCGGTGGAGGGGCCGCTCGGGAGCCGGACCCACGCGGGGGCCTTTCGCGCACCCGCCACGCGGGGGCGCCATTGCGCTTCGGGCCACGCCGCAGCCTGGCTCCGGCACCCCCTTCCCGCTCTCCTTTCAGGGTGCCAGAACATTCTTTTCCCTTCTCCATTTCCCCACCCGGGCCATAATAATGGTGATAAGAACGCACTGTGAGTCAGACCCTTTCCTCGGGTTATCATGTTAATTCTTAACACGAGTTGGAGATGGATATTTTCAGTATTACAAGGTGGGTGGAGGGTGGCCGCCGAGGCTGGGGAGGCGCGTGGCCTCTAAGGGACAGGTGTTAGAGCTGGTCCCAAGGGGGCCACCCCGGGCTGCAGACCTAGACCTCCTGGTGACACCTGCCCGGAGGGCCCTGGCCCACCGCCCCTGCTGGCTTAGAGCCCTCAGAGGTAGAGGTCAGGGCCGCAGCCCCAAGCCCAGGGAGCCCGGAGTCCCCAGAAGCTGGAAGTGGCAGGAAGGAGGGAGCAGGGCCCTGCCTACCTGGATTTTGGACTTCTGGCCTCCAGACCTGGGAGAGAATGAATGCCTGTGTGAGGCCTCCAGGTTGCTGATCATGTGTCAGGGTGGCCCTAGGAAACGAACCCAGCAGCCTGGAAAATGCCTGCTGATGTGCACAAAGCCGTGTCCAAGGAGTGTGCAGAGCCGGCGGGGTGGCACCTCAAGCCTCTGACAGGCCGGGCTGCTGAGCGCTTGCCCACCTGCCCCGGCGGGGTCCTGTGCAGGGTGAGGCGCAGCCGGCGCACCCAGGGCGGGCTGGGTTGAGGTAAGGGAGCAGGACCGGTGCAGGCGAGGACCGAAGAGCCTGCAGGGGGTGTGGTCAGGATGGAGTAGCCCTGAGGAGGCCAGAGAGGGATGGAGGGTGGTGGGGAGAGGGGCAGGCGGAGGCGTGCCGGGGTCTGTGACGAGACACACGCGTCCGGACGGGGCAGGGGAGATGGGCTGCACCGCTGGCCACAGAATTCGCCTTGACAAAGGGAACGGCTCATGCACTGGTGGTGTGGGGTGAGTAACACCTTTGAAAGGGTGTGACCTAGACACCAAGGATGCCCCACTTTACAGGTGGGAAGGTGGAAGCTCTGAAAGGGCCAGGGGCTGCTGTGTCAGAGCTGCCCCAGGAAGGGCCCCTCAGCTGTCCATGAGCCCCAACGCCGTGGAGACTGCACCCTAGCCACTCGGCCTGGCGGGCTCATGCGTCTTGGCGCTGGGCGCTGGAAGCCCAGGGTGGGCTTTCTCCTGAGGCCCCTCTCCTGGGCTGGCAGCTGGGTCTCCTCTGCACTCCTCAGTGGCCTTTTCTTCATGTGCCCATCCCTGCTGTCTTTCCCTCTTCTGTAAGGACACGGTCAGGCTGGACTAGGGCCCACCCCAATTACCTCATTCGCCCTACTGGCCTCTGTAAACAGACCCCATCTCCAAATAACAGTTACATTCTGAGCTGCTGGGTGTCAGGGCTTCAACATATGAACTTGGGGGACACAATTCAGCCGGCAGCCCACTCTACACCAGGCATGGAGCACACATGATTCCACGCCCTTCTCCTAATAGTCCTGCAGTACAGACGTTAATCTCACCCTCTGTGAGGATGCAGGCTCAGAGAGGTGAAGCGACTTACTCAAGGGGAGACAGCAGGTTAACAGGGCAGTTCATTCCCTGATCAGCCTGAGCCCACAGCCCTTCCATCACAGTTTCTGGGCTGTGTAACTTCGGATGAGTACCTTCCCCTCTCTGGTCCTGCACTCACTCCCTCATCTGTAAAATGAGGAGCAGAGGATGCTGTGTCAGAGTGCGTCATTCATACTGCCCACGCAGGTCTCAAATTAACATCGTCACAATGTGGGGGCATTGAAGAATGACGTGGCACCTTGATGGGTAAATGGTAGGGGGACCAACTCTGGGGGTCTTGGGCGTGTCATCCGTCAGAGGATGTTTTGGAGTGGGGGACCCCTTGCTGTGGGTTTGGGAGGCACCTCCAGAAAGGCCTTGGTAGATGTTAACCATGATCTTAGGGCCGACACAGCGTCAGGGGACTCCTGTTGAATGCGTGAACTGGACACTTGTCCGTGTGGGCCGGGCATTGTACGGTGTTCCGCCCTTTGCCTCTCCCCACCCGCACCCATTTTATAGGTGAGGACATCGAGGCTCAGATAAGTTGATGATTTGCTCCAGAATGAACAGCTAGTAGTGGGGATCTGGTGAGCTCCATGCAATCTTTACACTCGCCCTGCCACATCTGTGGCTTGGATGGCTTGAAGACCAAACATGTGGTTTTTTTATGTGGTTAGAGAACAGCTGAGTTGCAAAGACAGGGAAGAGGTCCTGTGTCTCCTCTGCCCAGCTTCCCTGATGGTTACATCTTTAGTAACTAGTGCCACATCAAAACAGGGAATTGATGTTGTCCTATGTGTGTGCAGTTGTCAGTTTCACATGTGTAGATTTTACCTAACTGCCAGGGCAGCCAAGAACTGACCCACTGAGGAGGACCTCCCTGCTACCCCTTACCCCCTCCTCCCCAACCCCTGGCAGCCACTAATTAGCATCATGCCTTTTAATACACAATCTTTTGGCTGACTTCACATGCCCACTGCGCTTGAGATGTAGGTCCACACTCCTGGCTATCCACTGGCATCCTTCTTTCCCGCCTCTTCCTTGCTAACAGAGCCCCCATTTGGTCAGGGTGCCAATGTACGCCACTCAGCACTCGCTTTCCCAGCCTGCCTTGAGCTGGGGTGGCCCGGAGACCAATTTGGGCTCATAGGAAGCAACCAGAATCTGTTGGAAAGCTCTGCAGCTTTCTTTCTCTGGAAAGGCCAGTGTGGCAATGATTCCTTCTCCCTGGCTTGAGCACACACAGTGGAAGGTACAGCAGCCACACTGATGAGGCCACGTGTCTGGAGACACCATGAGAACAGAGAACACCGTCCCAGCACAAACTTGCCATCTCTGGGGTCGTTACTGGATGAAAAGAAATCCTGCATGTCTGGGCCAGTGGTTCTCAATCAGGTGGCAATTTCACCTCCCAAGGTCATACTGGAGACGTTTTCATTGCCACAAGGAGGGGGGCACGACCAGCATCTCGTGGGTAGAGGCCAGGGCAGCTGCCATTACCCTAGAATGCCCGGACCACCTGCTCCCAATAATTACGTGGCCCCAAATGTCAATATGCTGAGTGTGTGTGAGACACACCGGGAGTCAAGCCACGGCCAGTTCGGGTGTTTTCTGCAACTGGGAACACTCCCAACAGTGGCCGCCTCAACCACTCACACTCCTAGCAGGGGTGGGGTGAAGATGCTGGGCAGGAAGCACAGCCAAGCCAGTGTCCACCTCCAGTGGTTGCCCTAAATCTATCACTAAATCTATTATTTTAAGCCACTTGGAGGGTCTCAGCTTGGAGGGTGGGGACCACGGTCCTGGAGCTGCTGGTGGGAAGCAGGGAACGCTGAGTACCAAGGGTCTCCCCCCACCAACCCTCCCTCGTCCTCAAACATGGGGGTTGGACAGTGGAATGCAACTTGCTTTAATGTAGAATACAAAACTCATGTACATACATAAATACAATTTGGGGTATAAATAAAGTTAAGAAAATAAAAAGATACATATCAAACAAAATAAATTACTCATAAATATCACGTTGGAAGCTAAGTGCTGGGAAAAGACCCCATCTCCCCGGCTGTTTTCACAAGTTACCCGCAAACTGGGGGCTTTCAAATCTCCCCTTTTCTGGCTTTGAAGGACATGTGTGCTTCCCTGCGGAGGAGGTCCCAACGCACAGGGGGACTTTGTGACAGGGGAGATGGAAGCAGATGCGGAAGACGGCGTCTGCTCTTTTGCGGTCAATATCCACAGCGCTTAATGGGGGGAAGCCAGGCCCCCAACGTGAGGTGGGAGAACTAGGAGTGGGGCAGGCCTCTGGGGTTCCACCTCCAAGGGCCCTTGTGAAATCCACACCACCCGAGCAGATCGGAAACCCAAGTCCCCACAGTGCGGAAGGGCTGCTAGGATTGGAGCTGTTCACGTCCGGTCCCTCTAGCAGGTGGCCGTGGGGGCCGTTCTGAGCCCAGCAAGAGCTAGAGCCAGTGAGCTGCCCAATCTGCCCAGGGCATACTGCCAAGTAATCCGGCCACCAGGAGCAGAATCAGGCCCAGCAGGGCGTTCTCAATCCCTCCCTCCCCAGGCTGCAGGGGCCGGCTGGGCTGGGCTGCGCCCGGTCAGTGCTGCCCTGGAGGTGACTGGGGAGTATGGATGGGGCCCCCTGGAGTTGTGACTGTGGATTAAACCTCACATGCAGTGGAGTTGAATCTATGTGAGGTTTTGCAAAGCCGATCACCTGTACATGAGTTTTAAATGCCTGCTTTTCTTCTGGCTGCTCCTGCTGGAGGCGGGAGAGGAAACCGCAGAGAATTTTGGCTTGGCACAAGAACTTTCCCAAAGGTAGTGTGTTCCCCACTGGTGGGGGTATTCAAGCAGAACAGGGCCACACTGCAACTTATCCAGCAGTGGCACAGGTGCGGGAGCGGGACCTGGGGTAGGTAGCCATCGGACAGGTGGATGGAGGGCTCGCAATCGTAGCATCACACAAGTCTATCTGCTAGGAACTGGCGCAGCCAATGTAAAACTTCGTGTATGTACTAAACGTTTCTTCCTAAAGCTAAAGAGAACACGAACCCAGGATTGTACTTGGAGAAGCCCAGTCAGAGCTCATTCTGCCAGCACCACAGGCCGGGAGGCCTGGCCTCCAGGGGCAGCGGGGACACCGGAGCCTCAGTTATTTCTGAAAACTGGGACTCTTCACCAGTCCCAGGTTGGTGGCAATCCCAAAAGGGTCCATGCTGTCTGTTTCCAAGGGCGAAGAGAACATGTCAGGCTCTAAGGGGTCCTGCACGTCCCCAGGCTCCTCTGGGCTCCCGGGAAGCATGGGCAGGAAGTGGGACAGGGGCAGAAAGCCCCTGGCCTTGTACAGCTGCCTCTGCTTGGCGCTGCTCAGAGAGACGGGGAGATGGTGCTTCTTGGACTGGTACACATTGTAGCCGTCAGGACGGATCTCCTCTTCAAAGGCGCAGTCCTCGGCCGAGTACTGAGGCTGGGGAGAAGAGAGGCAATGTGAGCAGCAGCCGGTGCCCTCCAGGGGATGACACCACCAGGGGCAGAGGAGGGCCTTCGTGCCACATACTGCCATTCCCGTCCACGCTATTACGTCCCGTCCATGCTATTACGTGTGTGTGCGTGTATAAAGGTTATAAAGGATGTTATGAAGTATGGGGGTATATGAAGTACATTTATATACATATTTATACCTAAGTGTTTGTCATATAATTGTATACATAAGATATAAAGCATGTGTACATTAATATACACAATTTCACATTACATAATCATAAGATTAAATGTGTTAAATGACATTAAATATATGTACACTGAATATATATACTTTATAAATTATACATTTAAACATGTACTTTGTATAACTATTTTACAACCTTTAACACATGCTTTAGGCATATTATTTCATATGTGCATTTGATGTATGTATGCAATACACTCATACATTTTACATAGATCCTTTCTATTTTTCATTAAACCACATCACTTTTTAATTAAGTCTCATTCTGAGCTATAATATCCACTAAATCATGGGTGTGATATGAGTATGTGCTCTTCTCACCCTTTTTGTTAAATATATGTTTTAACTATTGACATGAAAAGTCCCTGTACTCTACTGGCATTTTGGGGAACACTGCTAAACTATGTTATCCATTCAGGATCAGTCTTTTAATCAAGAATTACACGTAATCCCATCTGAGGCCCAGATTAAAATTTCTATAGAGCTGAGACCCAAATAACTGTGAGCATTCCGAGGCTTTTGTCTGGTGCCCTGGTAAGAACCATCAGCCCCCTCCGGGCTTCATTCAATTGCTGAGAGCTATCCAGGCAGCCTGCCAGGGCTATCAAGATAAAGGCAGGGCCTGCCCCCAGGCCCAGGACAGAGCCTGCACCCAGCGGGTGGCCGGAAATGCAAGCATTAGGACCAAAACCATCCTTGGCTCCAGAATTTTGGAAATTGAGGTGCCAGTGAGCAACTCCACTCCCAAACTGGGGAGTACCATTACCCCAGTGACAGAGAGGACAGCCCCAGACAGGGAGCCTGGAGTGCCAGGCAGTAAACAACCCCAGGAGGCACCCGATCCTTTCGGCCCAAGCCTACAAAGGTCACTGAACTGCAGGTGGGTGAGCACTGTACTGATAAGGCCCAGATAAGGCCGAGCCTAACGAAGCAACACCCCCACCCCTTGCTCCGGAGCTGGGGGAGAGCTGCCAGACAGACAGCAGGGAGAGACGCAAATTGATAAGCAAGGAGAGTAAAACCCAGTAGTGCCACTACTTTACTGTGCTAGCTCTTTGGAAGAAATTAGCATCTCATTTTCTCCTCCATACAGGCAATGAAATGATTTTGATTTTCTAGGACAATGTGGAATTTGTTTTAAAAAGCAAGCCATGCCCACCAGATCAAGATTTGGAACAGGATTTTTGGTGAAGAGACACCCCACCCCGCTACCCCAGTGTGGATTAGAATGGGGATTAGACCCACACGCACTTGACGCCCCTCTGCCCCTCCCATTAGCGCCCCCAGCCCCAGAAGTGTCACTATTGCAAAAGTTGCAACTGTGGGTTTGAAGTGGCTCTGGGTGTCAGCTTCCAGCAAGCGACCACCTCCTTTCTTGCCTCCATTCTTGTCCTTTCCGCCTGCAGACCTGAAGCAGGCACTTGCGATAAATGTAATAAATGGGTGTCGGAGCCACAAACAATCTGAGTCACTATAAAGATTCGCGCTGCGGGGCAGACCCAGCATCTGCAATTTTCTGCAGGGTGGGAGCTTCCGGTGAGGCCGGGCCTCCCCCTGCCTCCCCCCCGCCTGTCGGAGCCCCTGGCCCAGCGGGGCTGCATTGAGGCCCCGCGTCGGGCCGGGACCTCACACACACTGGTCGGGGAGCCCGGGGGCGCGGGAGGGGCGAGGGATCCCTTTGAACTCTCAGTCTTTGTTCCTGGCCACCAGAGACCCAGTATCCCCACACTTCCTGCCCTGCGACCCGTGGTTACCTGGGCCTTCCCGCCGGCCCCCAGCACCCCGCCACCCCAAAGCATTTGCCACTCAGCTGAGTCTGACGAGAGGACCGGCACGCCTCTGGAATATCACTCTAACGCGCCTGCAATCCCTATACGCTTTTTTTAGTAGATAAAAATTAGTTTTAAAAAAAAATCTCCAATTCCAAACGTGATCTTTTTCCAGAGACTTATTTGAAGACTGGCTTTTTAAAAAAAAGATCCCAGTTGTAGATACACAACTTTTTTTCTCTCTCTCTCCTTTTACTGAATACCGCAGGCAGGGAAACGGAGGCGAGGACCACACACGCGCAGGCCGAGGCTGGGAAGGCCCGAGGTAGGTTTTCCTGTTTCATATCAAAGAAAGCCGAGCCCTGGGCCTCCTCTGAGCCGGTGTTGGCTCAGTTGGAAATGCAGGGGGCGCCCCCCCAATTAGCTTCATCGGCCTTTGCCGTCTTGTCTCGGAGGTCCGCGCTGGCCCGCGCCGGGGAAGCGAGGAAACCCAGGATTAGATCCCGCGCGCCCCGCTCCCCTGCAGGCCCCCACCCCAGGACGGTAGGCCCCGCGCCCCAGCGCGCCCTGTCGGGTGCAGGCACCTACCAGCCCTTGCATCCTGCCGTCGGCGCCCATGCAGAGATACCGGACGCTGCGCACACCCTTGATGGCCACGGTCCGCAGAGCGACTGCCCTGATCTCCACTAAACCTGGGCCCGAGGGAAGCAAAAAGCTGCAGATGGGACCCGCAGAGCCCACAACACGTGGATGCGGTCGGCGCGGCGGCCCTTTCCCCATCGCCACCACCCCGCCTTCCAGCTCCCCACGCTGTCTGGGGGCCCGGGGAGGTTGTGGAACGCCCAGGTGCCAAGACCTGGGATTCTCGGGGAAAAAGGTCGGCTGGAGCCGAAGGGAGAAACGGGGAGGATATGTAACGCATGGGTGCGGTAGGTACATGCACTCGTGCCCCCCTCGCCCAGCTTCTCGCGCTGTCGGGGGGGCCCGGGGAGAGAGAACGCGGAGGTGCAAAAACCTGGGGTTCCCGAGAGTGGGGAGCCCGTGGGAGCCGAAGGAGGTAAGGCTAAGAGGCACTGGGGCGAGCGGGGGGCTCGGCAGGCACTCACTGTGCGCGCTCTGGCCCCGCGCGCAGTCCACGGCGCCGTCGGCGCGAATGCGCAGGAAGCAGCTGGAGAGGCCGTGGGGTCCGCCGGTGTACAGGTGCCGCAGGCGGATGGGCTCGCCCCAGCCGTAGTGCACGTGCGGCCCCGCGTCCGAGAAAGCTAGGGGGCGCCCGGCTGCAGCCAGCCAGAGGCCGGCCAGGACCAGGGCACGGGCCCCGGCGCACCGGCTCGGCGCGCTCCTCATGGCACCTTCCTGGGGCTCGGTGCGCGGCGTGGGAGGCTGGGCGACAGCCGGGACGCGCGGTGGAGCTTTGCGCGCCGAAGCCGGGTGACCGCGGCCTTGAAGCGAGCCGGGCGCTCTTGGAGCCCGGGCGCTCGGCGCTCCTGCTCCGACGGCGCGGCGGTTCGCGGCCGGCGACCTTATATAGCACGTCTTGGCGGCCCAGCGGGTGGGTGCCCTCGACTCCCGAGCGTTTCTTATCGGGATTGCATCAGCCCTCCGCCCCCCGCACGCACCCGCTCACACCCCGCCTCCCGCCTCCGCCCCTCCCCGGGCCCCGCCGGGTGACCCCGCCCTGGCGGCCGGCATCTGGGGGAGGAGGCGGCCCCGCTTCGCGAGAGGGTTCAGGGGAGCTCCTCCCCGCGGCGCAGTGGCGGGGCCGGCGGCCAGGGCGCTCATTGCCGGACGTGTTTGATTTTATAGAGGAGACCCCGGCCCCTGCCCCCAAGGCCACCGGCTCCCTTGGGAAATGCGCTCTTCGCTGGGCGCCAGCAGGCGAGAAGGCAGGAGCCCGAGGACTAGAGAGATGGGGGCGCACTGAGCTTTGCACCCCTCACTCCCTGTCCGGAGAAGCCTCGCTTCGGCTTTGGGGTCTTCTCCCTAAAAGCCCACATCCACCCCGTCTCGCGACGGTCCCAACCCTCCCGTCTCCAGGCGCAAAGCCGTCCATTCGAGGTTCCCCCTGCGGCTCTGACCCGCTCACGTTCTCCCGGCTTTCTGCTCTCGCGAGCCCAGCCCCCGCCCCTCTTCACCCCAGTAAACTGCCCCCCGACAAGGGCCGAAGGCGGTCGCCGCGCTCGGGGAAACAATGGGGCGGTGCGCGCGGCGAGCGCTAGGTGGCGCTGGAGGCCGGCGGCTGCCCGAGGCGCCTGCGTCTGAGCCTGCGGCGAGCGCTGCCTGCGACCGGCCGCCGCCGGGCCCCAACCCAGGTGCGGCTGCAAGCGGCAGGCTGGGAAACCCCGACTGCCCGGCTCAGGTCCGGCGCGCGGCATCCTCTGTTCATGAGGCGCCTCCTGTCGTGGACCCGGTCGTTGGGTCCCCGAGCCGGGACTCCCCGGCTGCCGGGCGGAGGGGCAGAGCTTGCTGGGCCCAGGACCATTCCAGGCGGGGAAACCGGGGCCGCTCAGTGACCTCTGCAAACCAGAGACCTTCGCTAAGGACGTTCCCCAGAAGGGAAGCACCCGGGGATGCCCTGGAGCGCAGAGGGGGGCCTCCTAGGGGCTTCGGCTCAGCATCATTTCCCATTATTCCTCAGCCCCCAAACTCCGATTTGGGGGCCCCAGGAGGCTGGTTTTGGGGAAGAGCCACACTGGCTCGGCTGGGAGGCACCCGCGGGAAGAACACCCCGCCAGGCCTGATGAATTTCAATGAGCAGAGGCCACGCTCATCCCCCCGCCCGTGACTGGCGTTAATGACGGAGCGTACAGAAAATGTCCCCAGGAAAAAGTCTTTACAAAAAGACATCATCTCGAGGCTTTATAGACCCGGGACCCCCACGTTGGCGTGTCTTGGTTTAGAAAGCCTTGGCTTCTGTTAAATCTAATTACTTCCCCCCTGTGGCTTTAAATCGACGGCGGCTCCTATTAAACTTAATTACCTTCTACTACAGCTTTCATTTTAAAGATCCTCGATAAATGGGGGCACTTCGGAGGGTGTTAGAGGCTTCACTGTGGGACGTGCCTCAAATGGGGTGGGGGAAGGGGGTGGCAGCTCCTGGCTCCACCCCGGCCCCTGCTGGCCCTCCTAGGGCCACAGTGCCATCAGGGTGCTCAGGGGCCTGGCAGAAGCAGCAGCCTCTGTGCCTGCTCCATGCTCTAAGCAGGTTACGGGTGATTTTTACTTAAATCCTCACAAGGACTCCCACGGTATTCTGTCTGCCCCATTGAATAGATAGGAAATGGGGGGCCCCAGAAAAGCAGCACACACGTGTAAGGGTGGATCTGGAGTTGGAACCCAGGCCACCAGGCTTGTGAATCCAGACCATGCTGTGTCTCGGGGAGGCTATGTGGCCTCCTAGCCCGGAATCGGGCTCCGACGTCAGACCCCTGCCGCCTGGCCATACGCAGCTACTCCCCGGCCGGGTCATGAGCCTACCGAGCCTGTGGCCTCGTGCCTGATCTCAGTGATGTCATGGGGTCATTTGGAAGAGCGGGCATCACGTGCCTGGGATGTAGTTCATGAAGAATGACATCCATCCATGAGGTTGGCTGTGCCGCAGGCATTTCAGTCACAGCAGTGCTCTGTGTTTAGGTGATTAATCTGAGCTACATATGAGAAAACGGGCTCCCAGAGTTGGCCGGCCAGTCGGCAAGGGTTGGCGCCCAAGTGCCCCCCTCATCTGAGCGCTGTGGATGGGGGAAGCTGAGGGGCCTAGGAAAGTGGCACTGGCCAGCAGGGGGCGATGCAGCCAAGTGTCTGGCCCTCACCTGTCGCCCTCTGAGCAGGCGCAGACATCCTCCCAAGCCTTTTGGTGCAGCGCCCATGTGCCCGGTGGGCTGGTGTGGTTTTCCAGGCTGCATGTGATGTCCCAGTGGCTGGGCCCCCACGAGATTTCATTCACCCAGTGAGGTGGGCAGCGCAAGTAGGATCTAAATCACCCCACTGCCCCCCTCAGTCCAGCAGGGCCCCAGGTGTCTCAGGTCCAGAAGGGCTTGATTTGGTGGCTTTGCTCCAGATTTGATGTTCGCTGGGGTCATTTTTAATTGCCCTAAACTTCCTCCGTCCCAAGTTTGTCCAGGTTGCTCATTCTGATGGCGGCAAGTGAGATTTTCATTGTTTCCAAACCCATGGAAATCTTGCTCAGCCTCACTTTCACTCTTTACATTATGGAAAAAAATAATATCTTTTTTTCCAGAAATTTACATGCTAATGTCTAATGTGCCTTCCTAAGTACAGCTTAAGCTTCCCTGTGTTCATCCCCACCCCATGCTTCAGAAATACTTGGTAATTACAGAATCTTCCTGGTGTCAGGGAAAACCTTCATCAGAAAAAAAGAACTGCCATTTCAAGCTTTGGGCAGAAAGGATTGTGAAGACTTGGATGAGGGGCAAGCCACACAGCAGGTTCCTGGACCAGCTGAGACTGGAACTCGGGCACCTGAGTCTCAGCTAGAATCTGCTAGGATGTGCGTCATTTTCCCATAGTCCTCTGCTTCCCCCAAACCCATGTTCTCCCACTGGGATCACTATTCTAATAAGAGGGCATGCCAGACATTGGCAGAGGGCCTGGTCAGAGCAGAAAAGGGGAGCCTCTCTGAGTCTCAGGTTCCTGAGTTATAAATGAGCAAAAGGAATGCTTTTAGCCTCCCCAAGGTTAACGTGAGAAGCAGATGGGGTATCTCTTGACGGAGAGATCAGAGGTATGTAGAGACCGCCTGGCATATGTGGGTCTGCAATAGACGGGGTACCTGTTTTTATTTATTTAAAGGCTACTCTCTGGATGTCTTGAGCACAGTTACTAGTTAGTTTAAAATATAATGGCCACTCTAGAAAAAGGCAAATCTCTTCAAACTGATGATGGGTGGTTCCCTAGGTAGGAGATGGGGGTGGACATCCCCTGGAAAGGGGCCTCGGGAAAGGAAGCTCTGGGGTGAGGTGAGCATCCTTGTCTCCCCTGCCGCAGGTGGTCAACCGCAGGCAATGGCACTTGTCAGAAATGCCAGAATGGAACCCTTAGCTTTAGGAGGCGTCTTACTTTAAGTTACAACTAAATAAAGTGGATCTGAACATTTTCATTGCAAAGTAGAACTTGTTCATGATTGAAATTTTGGACAATACGGACATTTTTAAACCTGGGATATCATGACTGCATTATGAGCTGCTATTTCTGTGTTGGTGAATTTCTTCCTCAGACTTTGAAAACGTCTCTAGGTATCTTTCAAATAAAACAGCATTTGAATTGTGTGTGCCCCTCCGCACCTCTGATTACTATAGACATTTTCCGTGGCATTCAGTGTCCTCCAGCACCCATTCACTGGCAGGTCGGAGTGGGGTAGCGTGGATGCGAAATGTCCCCTGTTGATGGGTGTTGAGATCATCTCCCATTTCCCCTCCACGTAACACAGGGAAGGATATCTATGGGTGCTCATCTCACACCTGTCCACTCTCAGAAGGGGAGTGACCTAGCCACACAGTCTCTTCCCAGTTAGGTCCTGTGCATGTCCCAACACCAGATCCGGGGGGATGTGGCAGCTTCCTCCTGGCATTTGGGGAACTGCCCTGCCCTGTGCATGCTAAGGGAGATGCAGCTACCTCCAGACCTCTTGGGGCAAGTCGGAGACTCTAAGTCACAGTCACCAGCGGTCACCCACATAGCACAGGAGCTGTGATTGCAAGCCTCCCTTCCTGCCAGTTCAGGACCCCCGACCCCTCACCATGCTGGCCCAGCTCCCTGTCAGGCAGGGCCTCTGTGACAGGAGTTGATAGTTTTTCACGACATAGATGAATTCGGGCCGAGGGGGCTGTGAGCTGATTTCAGTACAGAAATGTGTCCCCATGGAAGGATTCTGACCTGTCGAAGCAGCTGTATCATACGTGAACACCCAACGCTGTGAATGCCAACACTGTCAGAGAACAGAAGGCAGCTGATGAGAAAACGTTAATGCGAGTAGCGATGTCACCGAGAGTCCCACAACTCAAATACTGAACTTGGAAAGTTCTGGAACCCCTGGGCTGGCATTGCCGACCGCATCCCCTTCACAAACTTGCCCTAATGGTCAGAGTCCCCAGCCTCCAGCTGGTTATTCTTCAAACCTGGTCCACAAAGAGATGTTTTTTTTCCTAAAAAACAACAGCACACTGTCACGGTGCGTTTCCTCTTCTGCCCTCAGTGGTGGTAGGAAATGGCTTTGCCTCCTCGATGCCAGACCCTGCTGGTCACCACGGGGAGGGGAGGGGGACACTGACACTCAGCTGTTCCTCTGTGCTGAGAGGTGTGCTAGGCACTTTATTTATCGCACTGACGTTTCAAAAGTACCCGTTTTAAAGATAGGGAAAGTGAGGCTCAAAACTACACCTTGACCAGAGTCACAAAGCTAATAAACAGCAGAGTTTGTATTTGAACCCAATTCTGTATGAATTCAAGTCACAACGCTCTGAAGCACTACACGATATTTTTTTAAAAAAGAGAGAA